AGCAATTTGCACTTTGCAATAGCGGAACAGTAAAATAAATAGAGATTTAAAGGTGAATCTACAAAAACAAAGAATGTTTAGAAAACAACAAATTATTGCCAAATTACTTAACCTGAATCTAATAAACACTATACTATACTATCAAAATCTAATAGAAAATATAGCTTAACGAAATAGCAAAAGAATACGAAATAAAATCACAAGAAAAACAAGAAAAGCATTGATGCAATGCATCAAAGGCAACGCAAAACATATTTCTAGATGAAAAGGATTAACAATTGTGCTCTTTTTATTGTCAGTGTTCACTTCATCGAACTGAATAAACAACAAAATCAAATTTAATCTTAAACTGTTGGTTGTAACTGACATTGGATGCACTTCTATTTTGAATAGTACCATTGATCATCAATAAATGGATAGACAAACAGAACAGAACTGTTAAAAAACGGATAGACAAGGATATTATTGCTAACGAACTGTGTAGATAAAGATAAGACTAAATATATATGCAGGCTAACCTTGATCTGCATTTACCCCCCAAAAATTAAGCAGTTTAAGGATAATAATATAATTATAAGGAATAACTAGAATCTGGGAGTCGCATGTGTCCCTTTATTAACAGTATTGCTGTCACTTAGGCATATCCTTCTTAAATAAAGGTTATTTGTAATACTGCTCTTGCAATGTACCCGTACCTTTAATTTTAGTGGCATTTAAATTGATTGTAACAATGTTACATAAGGATTTATAAAATTGTTATATTATTAAAAAATAAAGATACCATGGAAACGTTTTACACTGACAGATCAAATGGAGGACTCTGTGATTGATTCTTGAGCACTGCACTTTAAGTCAATGAAAAAAGCTTACATACCAAATTTGGAGTCAAACTTATAGTGACCAAGTAATGGTCTTGATAAGCCTATTAGGTAAGAACATTAACAAAGGGCAATAACTCAAAAATCATGAGTGCAGAGTACAAGTTCTTGTGCAGTGCACTTCTTCTCATTGAGATCTACAATCCCATGAAGCTCCAAGTCAATAGTTTTTAATTTTAGAAGAATTGGCCCGGACAAAAATAAAGTATTATAATTAACAGATGGTAATACCTCTTAATTAAATCATGATGTACAGAGTACCGGGTTTTAGTGCACTGCACTTCATCTTAATGAGATCTATCATCCTTTGAAGTTTCAAGTCCATAGCTTTAAAAATTTTAAAGAAATGGCCCGGACAAAAATGAAAATTCACGGTGGCAATAACTCAAAAATTAAGAAGTGCTGAGTAGTGATTCTTGTGATCTGCACTGATGGTCTTTAAAAGAAGCATGCAAACGAAGTTTGGATTCATTCCGACTTATAGTGACTGGGTTATGCCCCGGACAAGCCTAAGGGGAGGTCGCCGCCGACGCGGCCGACAAAGGTAACCCCTGTTTCAACGCGACACAAAAACTGAGCCTTTTTTCGTTATGCCAGTAATGTTTAAGAACTCTCACACCTGTTTACTCTAAGTGTTCTTTAGAGCAATGTAAGTATCTTATGACACACAATTACAAGCACACAAAACATTTTCTTAAACATTTATTTCACATACAACTACACATAATTTTGAAAGTAAACTTCCTGAATCTTGGTCAAATGTGGAAAAAAGTACAAACAACCTAAACAATACTAAATTTTTATAAAGGCATAATTTTAAATTAAAACAAGAGCTGTCACAGAAAGTGACAAATGCCCCCGATGGATTCTAGTTATAAACCACCTATTTCATGCTATGAGTGGTGGTAAAAATTGACAAAGTTCGAACTCTAGCAGTGACCTTTGTTCAAAACACATTGTCAATCTATGGTGACTTTGTATTTTTTAAAATAAAAATGTAAACTTTCATGCATATGGAAGTCACAGAGCAGATAACATAAATAATGAAAAAGTTTAAATCCCAGCAGTGACCTTAAACTTAAGCGTAGGAGCACGGGTCTTAAGGGCAACACATCATACATTTATGATAATTTCATATATGTGAAATAACAAAATAAAATCTTTTCATGCATATTAGTTTCAGAGCAGACAAGACCATCTCTGCCTATATGTATATAACATGTTTGAACCTCCACAGTGACCTTGACCTTAGTTATAGAAACCAAAGTCTTGTTCCTGGCACACCATATATCTATGGTTATCTAATATGTGAAAGAAAAATTAAAATCCTTTCACGCATACTGAAGTTTCAGAGCGAACAGGACCACCACCTTTTATATTTATATAACATAAAACATGACAAAGTTTGAACCTCCACAGTGACCTTGTCCTTAGTGGTAGAAACCCAAGTCTTGTTCGCGACACACCATACATGTATGGTTATGTCATTTGTGAAAGAAAAATTACAATCCTTCTATGAATACTGAAGTTTCAGAGCGAACACGACCACCACCTTTTATATTTATATAACATAAAAATGACAAAGTTTGAACCCCCCACAGTGACCTTGACCTTAGTGGTAGAAACCTGAGTCTTGTTCGCGACATAACATACATCTATGGTTATTTCATATATGAAAGAAAAATTAAAATCCTTTCATGCTTACTGAAGTTTCAGAGCGGATACGATCACTACTGTCTATATGTATAAAGCGGGACGGACTGACGGACGGACTGACAGACAGACGGACGGTTCGATTTTAATATTCCACCCTTCGGGGGCATAAAAAATAACATGCGACTCAAAGTAATAGAAGCATCAAAGATATGTTATCAAAACACCAACATATTTAAAAGATATATTACGCTCATATTTAAGTAAAATATTTTTATCACAGAAAATTCTTGAAATCCATGAAATCCTTACTGAATATGTTTAATTTGAATGAAAGAATGTACAAACTATGCATGGGAAGCTGCGTTCCATATTACATAAAAAAACTCACAGTCTTTTTAATTACGCTATATATTTATAGTTTGTCCACTTAAAAAGTGAATAGTGTGTAAAACAATATATATAGACTTTGAATGATGTCTAAACATGTTTATTTTATATTTACAATTTGATTCATGTGACCTTGGCCCTTGAACTAGTGATCAAAGTATTGCAACTGCAGAAATTCTCAGCTACAATTATTTTTACGTGTCATTGTATGATATTATATGAAAAAGGCAAAGCCTCAAAGTGAGCTCGATTTACTTTTACTGTGAAATTGTATAAAATAACCATTCATTTTTACTTTATATTTTCCGTTTTTAAAACTGTCTTTCGATATTTAAAACACTGTTTCCGTTTATTCTGGTTCCCTGTCCGATTATGGTTCCTATAAAAGTGCACAGGACACCAGTCTACGCTCCCGTTTCAAATTAGAATACCTTTTATCGTTATCTTGTAATTCGAAAAGTTGCGATGTGTCAATTCAGTACTTCAGACGAAAGTTTTCAAAACAATCACTATCTACTTGCGTTACTGTAAAGCTCGCTTTGCGAGCAGGCCCTTTTGGCCAGCTCTTCGAGCTCGCTATCAAACAAAGCTCTTGGTCAAGATCTTAACTCCATTTAATTTTTACAGACAGCATGTGTTCAAAAACAGAGATAGACTAAAAAGTGAAGTGCAATAGATGTCAACTTGAGTTTAATAATCCATTTTACTTCAATCCAAACTTGACCCCAAAAAAGTTTGACATAACAGTATAATTATATATAACAAAATAATAAACAATGCATAACAAAAACAAAAAAGGAATAAACAGTGAAGACCATAATAAATAACAAAAAAATGAAAATACCAGGTTATTCCAAAATAGACAACAGTATTCGGAGTCTGGCTTTTAGTATTACCAATAAAGCAAAATTAAGGGATAAGCTGTTTCATAAAGATGAATACCACAATGCACATGCTTTTCAAATACAACTTAAACGACATATTCGTTTACCTTATTTTTAAGAATCAAAATAAAACTCATTATACAACATGACATAAACTGTAAATAATAACAGCTCCTACCAGAGAAGTCGCCAAACAAGTCTCCAAACAATTAATCTTGTACAGGCTGTAATTTTATCACAGAAAAGAAAGGCCCGTCTTTCAAATACAGACATGGTACATATATCCGGTTCATAAAACAAAAATGTAACTCTCTTATTACTGGACCGTTTTTATTGAGATAAACGACAACATACTTTAAAATGAGATAAAGAAACTTATACAAATATGCAATCCATAAAAATACTCAAATTAATAGTTTCATCTGCCCAAAAAATTATAAACTGAACAAAAGGATGATGCAATCTAACATAGTAAAAATGAGCTTCGGCGTTAAATGATAATGCGAAATTTTTCAAACGTTCGTTCACTTTGTGACAAATACAAATACAATTTTACAACAATGTACATATAAAAGTTTGATAAAATCTTCTTAATGTTCACAAATTGAAGAAATTCAATTGATAAATTAAGATAAATAAATGGCATTTTGAATTACACAACACTTGGGCCAGAATATACAAACAGAAAGCTGAATGTTGATTTTCTAGCTCAACATTGAAAATGTTGAAGGTCTAGCTGATTGTTGATTGTCTAGCTCAACATTCGTTTTGGAATTATATTGTTAAGAAACATAAAACGAACTTTGTGCTGAATGTTGGTTGCCTAGTATAACTTGACATTGATTGTTATAATAAGTTTTGCACATTTATATTTTGATTAGCATTGACTCTTGCTGGGTTTATTACAATCTAACCTTGCAGTTTAAAAAAAGAAGAATCTTTAAAAAAAGATACTCGGCCAAACTAAAACTGGTTAATTTGCATATCGTATCTTAGGAAACGTGGGAATAGAATCATAATGATTATGATTATTGAGCCTATTTTTAAATTTTACCTTTAAATTTATGAAATATTAAAATCATATGTTGGCACATACGAAGTATTTTAAATAGAAACAAAATGTTAAGTCTGAGGTAAGAAGTAAAAATAACAACTACAAAAAGAAAATTTTTTTCGTCTTAGACTCTTAATCTTTTACCGTCATGCAATTCTTTTATTTCTATTATTGTGAATGTCGTTTCATCTCAAAGAAAATATTCAAGCAACTGAATTTTTAATCAAATCGAGATTTCAATAGAAAATTAAAAATAAAAACGTTTTGTTGATACGAATCGAAATATCTGAATTTACAGATTTGCAACCCCGTTGGAAATAACGAAAGAAACCTATAATCCGAAAAAAAGAACCGAAAGTAAGATTTCTAATCTAAAAATACTTTGACAAACATTTATTATAAACAAACCATTCAATCGTTAGCAGTTATATAAATACTTCAGTAATATGTAAGATACATGAAAATCATCTTAACTTTGTATCCACTGATAATGTCGGATAGTTCGTTTACTTGTGTGTTTTTCGCTTTTTTCATGCGCATGAGTAAACGGAATCGTGGACGTAATTGTAAATGGTGGTTTCGTTAATGTTTGACAAAATGTAATACATCATTAAAGCAACGTAAAATAATATTTATGAAGATGAATGGTAATTAAGAATTTAAAATGTGTAGGAGAAAAAAATGGTTAAACACAACTTAAGTTTCTGAAATTTAACTTAATAGTAAAAGAGCTTATGAATGTAGATAGTTAGTTTCCAGAACTCCTAATCAGACGCGTATATCATGTCTGAAAAATCCTTAATATTATTTTACTAATTTAACAATGGCCAATTAGATTCCGAGATTTCAGACTGTAATTTTTAAATGACCAATGAAATTTTTACATATATTCAGTTGTTCCCTAATTTTACAGGAAGACCAACCGAAAACAAGGGGGCTCCGGCCGAAAAATACATGTTTTAATGGTCTTTATCGATACACACCAACAACACATAAATGATAATCACGGCTTGTCGTGAGCCCCATTTTCCAATCATTCATGCTAATTGAAACTGAATTAACTGATTCTAAGATATGGGCCCAGACGGACGGGGAATAACAGATCTTACTTCGGTGGTCGCTGCATGAAACTCAATAAGCATATAATTACACACTTGTTTTAGATGTATATATTTGTATTCAGACAAAACATAGAGAACTTTTAAATAGATGAAATACTACAAGTAAAGAATATGAGAACATTGATCTGGCTTAAATATACGGAATATTTATGTAAAGTTCTTTTTCACACGACCATTCATAGTAATATTATGAATCAGCAAGGGCGCGGTCACATTATTCCTTATTTGAAGAGTTGAAGCATTCAGCGGTGGGATGATATGTGGAAGGTCGAAGTATGGATGATCATCTATCACTGTCTGAAATGGGGAAGAAATATATTTATCCTCAAGGTACCTTATACCGGGAGGTACTTTGTACCGGGAATGTCCAGATATTACAAACAACACTTACATAAAAAATTCTTTTGTATGCAAGTTTTTTTCACATTAATTTCATACAAAATATAGCATTTTTTTTTAAGAAAATTCAAAGTTTTAATAACCCTATTCACGTAAATGTGTTTCACGTATAAATACTAGTATTATTGCTAACGATTTTGACCCAACCTTATATTTTGAATGTGTGTGCAAATGCTTATCAAATTGTTACCCTTTTACTGTGTAATAACTGATAAATATTGAATAGAAATAGTATCTGATAAATATTGAATAGAAATAGTATCATTTAACAGTAATGGACCATTTATATATGTTTTTAACTTTTAATTGATTGCTTCAAAGTCATTCCTGGTATTAAGTACTTAAAACCAAAAATGACTGCCACTCATATGAGGTTATTAACAGAACTATCTTTTTGATGTATAGTTAAAATTTCTATTGGATGATTGTTATTTTCATCAAACAATGGTACCTCCTACAGAAAAGAAATATTGTATCCTAGATTTTTTGGTATTATATGATGGTGGGCCTAATAAGGCTTACACTCCCGGTATAACATTGTATTTGTTTTATTCTTAATAAAAAGACACCAAGGTCTTGTTTATTGTTTACATGGCAATTGGAATAAAAGTCCAGGCTTAGAACTAGAATTTATTTTGTACAGTGTGATCAAAGGTACATACCCTGATGAAGCCTGTGTGTGATTCAAATGTTATTTTGTAAGTTATTCCAAATTCTATCGGACATGGTTGAGTTATTATACCACTCTCCTGCCATCCTTGATCGGGTGTAAATGTATCTACGCCTGCAAAATTATAATCTTGCCGGAAGTAAATATGATGCATTATAGGTTTGGATAGTAGATCTAGTAGATTTTGCGGGAGGTCGTCCTTTTCACGGTCCAAAAGGTTGATTTCAAAGCTGAAAGTCAACAACATGACGTCACGAATATTACTCGGTGAAAGCAAAACTAAAAACAGCCAAAAAATCAAATTATTTATAAGTATCGAATCAATTATTTTAACTCAAATTTCAAGTTTTATTGAATATAATTATATCCTAATTTGCATATTGACAATACAAAACATGAGACAAATACATTTGTATAATAATAAATAATAATAAACAGTCACGTGAACATGTGAGGGCAACACTGTATTAATTTAGGCGTATCTATAATGACCTAATGTAATACAAGAAAAAGAAAGAGAAAAGAAAAATATAACAAAATCAATATAGTCTGCTTGATTGTTATTGTTTGGTTGCCGTAGATAATATGTATTTAATTTTCATTTCAATACGATAAAAAATGAAAAATTATAAATTGAAATTTTTTTCACACCGCGTCCAGGAAAGTGGACTTGTGAAGAAGATCGTTATGTTGGCCCCAGTCTCGAATGATATTGGTAGTGTCCAGAAATAACTGTGCGTTATAACCTGAAAAACAATGAGTATCAAAAACGCTGTAACCTAAGATCAGAAATACAATCCTTGCATCTACATTTTGTATTAATCTAAAATTATAATGTGCAAAATCATGATATAACAACTACATTTGATATGCTCTACCTGTATCGATAATATCAAATATTTCTTTTATGCTTTCCAGTCGGTTACTGATTTATCCGTGAAAATTATATTTTCTAATTTCACAGTGAAAATTATCAAAATATAATTTCACACTTTTCAATGACAGACTACTTCTTAAAGATTTTCCCCATGTGGTACTTCAATTTTATTATTGCTGCCAATTCTGAAATTGTCAGGGCTGTTTAGAGAAAAGCATAGCTAAAATTGATAAATAACTGAAAAATAAAAAGTTATAAAAAGAATCTTGAAAACTGACTTAAATTAATTCAAATTACCAACCATCAAATATCGTCTATAAATTTTTGTTTAATTTTTACAGTCTGAAAAATACAATTCCTTCCACATGCAAAACTGCTATTGATGACATTTGGGCATATTTAAGTATCCTACCAGCAATAACTGCCTAATAACTTGAAAAGCAATGACAGCCATCAGTCCGTAGAATAAATAAACAACCCACCGTTCGTAAGCCAGCTTTTTAAAAATTCCATGCTTTTCAATTTCCTAGCCACTCTATGAATGTTTACACATCTGTCAACACTTATTTATTATCTGTAACAATCTTCAAATAAGTTTTCTTTCTTCTAAAAAGATGTATAACTAACAAATCCAAATGATATCCCTCTGAATCAAACCCCGTGAAATACACAACTTTTAAAAATGGCGGCCGATTATATTTCACAGAGCCGGGTCTAATATAAATTCGCCGCAAGGATGGATGGTTTGACTTTTTCTCCTACTAAAATTGTTTGTTTTTATTATTAAAACAAGCGATCATTCATATTATTTTAACAAGGCTGTCTGAAGAACAGTTAAATCCCCTTCCGCATTTAACCTTTTACCAGCCATGACCTTGATGTTATGTCTTAGATATCATAAGCACATAGTCTCATGATGGTGTTTATTTGTGCCATGTTATTTGAAATCTTCCATAAAGTAAAACAAGAGGGCCAAGATGGATCTACATCGCTAACCTGACCCATCGAATTCATCCGAACAATTACCTAGACAAGCATTTTGACCAAGTTTCATGACAGGTGAGTCAAAAATGTGACCACTAGAGTGTTAACAAGGATTATCCATATTTGAGCAGTGTAACCAAGTTTTTAACCCCAGGTGACCCGTATTCAACCTTGACCTAGAAATCATCAAAACAAACTTTCAGACCAATTTCCAGGATACTTGGATCAAAACAGTAGCCACTAGCGTATTAACAAGATATTCTATTTTTAGCTCGTGTTACCTAGTTTTTCATCCAAGATGACCCATGTTCAAACTCATCCGAGCAATTATCTAGACAAGCATCCTGACCAAATTTGATGATAATTAAGTCAAAATGTAACCACTAGAGTGTTAGCAAGGTTTTTCCATTTTTGGGCGGTGTGACCTAGTTTTTGAATCCAGGTGACCCATAAACGAACTTGACCTAAAAATCATCAAAACAAACTTTCAGACCAATTTCCAGGATATTTGGATACACTAGAGAGTTAACAAGATTTTTCTATGTTTAGCTCCTGTGACCTATAGTCTGTCCCATCAAATTTGAATACTCCATTTTTTGTTTAATATAATAGTAAAATCATTTAAATTAATGTCATGTTAACCCTGACGTCAATATCTCTAGACATGTTTTTCATTTTTTTCATACAGTCATTAATATGGTCGAAATGTTAAAATTATATTTTTCCCCGTTGACTTACGTTGTAACTGACGTGACGTCCATTTCAAAATGGCGGCGCCCATATAGACGTCATTTAGGGTTCGTCTCACAATTAGCGTGAAATGTACCCGGTAATTATAAAAAAATGATTATTCCTAATTACTTACTGATCAATAGCTAAATGTTCTCATTAAAATGAAAAATGAAAACAAAAGTGGTGTCAAAAAGACAATTTTACTAGCAAACCATTATTTAAAGTAATCAAAATCATTTGAAGTGAAAATATAAGTAACTCTTTATTAATTCTAACACACAAATATTTCTATAATTACCATGACATACTGTCGTATTTTATACTGTTGTATTTTTATATTCTTTTTAAGAGAAAAAAACAATGAAGTGATTTGATTAGATAGCTTTTCATTCAAGCGCGTATCTTGAATACAGCAACGCGTCGAAGGGGAGCGGGAACACTAGCTAGAAGACTATAAAATGGGTATTCGCTAATTAATGTTTAATTTACATAATTCTGTAGTTGTCTGAATTATGTCCATTAGTATGTGTCACGTCTATTCAAAAATGATTAGAATTGACCAGGTTCGATGAGATACAAAAATATATGTGACCCTTCTTATTTCGGGTGCGATGTTCGCGTGCTAAACCTTTCCTTCACAAGAAATCGCCAACAAATATTTACATTATCATGCAAATCTGACAATAAGTATATAGAAAAGAGAACTGATTCACTATACGTTCAGCATTGGTTTGCTTGTTACCACAGTGTCTACTTTAACTTACCCCCTCGCTAACGAGAGAACACAGACTCGTGTCTGAGGAAAATGTAAAATATAAGAAGATAATATCACGCTTTCTAGTTTGAGCAAGCAAACGTAGGCCTATACACTTTAAGCTCGTAAATACAGATTTAACTTTCCGTCTCACAATTCAACAAAATGTCCAGAAATACCGGCAGTGATTTGATATTATTAAGAATAAGTTTGAATTGGAGTGTTCAATAAGCGACAATAAGTGCGGTTTTTATTGCAGACTCAAAGTGTTACATATAATTATTATGTTAATATGAAGGGGAGGTCGAGTCAAAGAGAACCTCAATAATTTTAGCCTTCCTAAAATTTGAAAAGATTCAGTGAAAAAACAATAGATTTAGCATATTTTTCGTGGCAGAAAAAAAAAACGCGTATTGTATATTTTGTAACTTAAAGAGTAGGATTTACAGAAGTCTTTAATAATAAGGGATAATATGTAGGGAAATCATTTCTGAGAAATATATAAAATAGATCTAGTTTAAAAACATAAAATCAAAACGAATGTTATATGTAATTAATGGAAGAAGTATTGTACTGTTATAGATTCATGTCATTAAGTGAGTTTAAAATTATTTAAATGTTATCGAAAGTTTTATTATTAATATAATTATGAATTGAATGTGTAATTTTTACAGTTAAGTTGCAAAATTTGGGTCTACAAAAATTATTTAAAATGCAATCAAGGCATATTTATCTCAACGCTTGAAATTGTTTGTTTGAGGTTACATTTGCCTAACCGCCCTCTGTCAATGCCGCAACTGGAAGCGCGAGGCATTTTTGTTACGTCATATATTTCGTAAATTGTTGTTGACGTAATAAAGTTTTTTTCGTCAGGAATCCATTTTCAAGAGTTATAAACATTGTGATGTTAACACTTAAAATTATGGGCCGTTCTTGAATTATGGATTTGGAACATGCTGAATTATGATGTGTTTCATTTACATATTTCATTTGCTAACCCAGATAACTCCACAAATTTAACAATCATGAATGTTTTAATAAAGAGACGGATTAACAGTTTAAAAAATCTGGATCATCATAGGCCTAAGTGTAGGAGTCATGTCATTCAGGAGTTTTGAAGCTACGGAACTGGATAGAAACTTGCAATGAAGCGAATTTGTGGTGACGTTCATATAAAAATCTATTTCGAAATTCATAGGGATTCTATTCAGCTTAAAAGTAAGTGCAATTTCTTTTCCTACTCCGTGTTCTTGTTGCTTATTTTTCATTTTTTTTTTAAGTTTTCCATCATGCATTGCAACTAAACTGTTACATCTTGTAGATCCAGCTTTGTAAAATAATCATGAAACGACCCCGAGAACCTCATGTATATTTTAGAAACATAACACGTGCTTTCTCCCGTTCATCTTCAAATGAAGAGTACTTCGGCAATGGCTACAGAAAATAAACAACAGGGATTTGCCATAGAGAAATCAAAATTTGCTTTCACAAGAAAAGTAGACACAAAGTAGAAAAATCCTGAAAAATCTCGAGGGTGACTTTTTTTTAGTTTACAAAAATAGTTTAATTTTTATTCAACCTCGTTTTGTAAATTCACACGAGGCAAAAGTTCATTTCCATTTTTAATGGGACAGACTATAGTTTTTCATCCGAGATGACCCATGTTCGAATTCATCCGAGCAATTACCTAGACAAGCATTCTGACCAAATTTGAGGATAATTGAGTCAAAAATGTGGCCACTAGAGTGTTAACATGGTTTTTCTATTTTTAGCTCCTGTGACCTAGTTTTTCATCCGAGATGACCTATATTCGAACTTGACCTAGAAATCGTCACAACCATTTTTCAGACCAATTTCCAGGATATTTGGATCAAAACAGTAGCTACTAGAGTGTTAACCAGGTTTTTCTATTTTTAGCTCCTGTGACCTAGTTTTTCATCTGAGATGACCCATGTTTGAATTCATCTGAGTGTTTACCTAGACAAGCATCCTGACCAAGTTTGATGATGACCGAGTAAAAAAAATGTGACCACTACAGTGTTAACAATGTTTTTCTATTTTTAGCTCCTGTGACCTAGTTTTTCATCCGAGATGACCCATGTTCGAACTCATCCGAGCAATTACCTAGAAAAGCATCTTGACCAAGTTTGATGATGATTGAGAACAAAATAATAAACTTTATTTAACGTGTTTAACAAAACGGCAAGTTTATGCTAAAATTATGTTGGACATTTGTATTCATATTCTGTTACAAACTGAAATTTTTCTTTTTATATGTGTTGCAGATAACATTTATGCAGATAGAATTTGTGTAGATAGATATTTCGTACTTGTAAACCTATTTGTTATTCATGAATACAAGAAAAGTTACACTCGGGGTACAAACATACAATCTACGGCCGTGGAAAGTAATAAGTCTAATTTCAATGACCATCAGTGAAAATGAATAACAAGTTTTCTTGTCCCTTTGTATATACGTCTTCTAAATTTTCTTATAATACACCAAATAAAAAACGTTAACATATTTTCGGTGAAAAATCATTGCAGATGTCATATTTAATCTCATCAGAATTCCCGAGTATTTCCTATTAAACCCCTATATAAAATAATACTATTTGCCTAAAGAGGTCTTCAAAAGTCTTATAATAAAATAAATATCGATACCTATTAATAAACCCGCAAAATCAACGATTAAAAAATGTGTCGGAAACTGCTTCTTTAGCGCGTCAATTACGGCTAACCTCCTGTTGAATCCTCTTTTGTAATGCGCATGCGCACTCCAGGATTCCGGTTTTTATTTAAGCATGACCTGTACTTAGTCATATCAAAATTTATTTAAATTGGAGACGTGGTATTTGAGAAATTTCTAAATAAATTTTTAAATATTTTTATCGGAAACTGCTTCGATACCAGTAGCATCTAACACGTTTTATTAAAAACACAACATATATTAATGGTCATATGATATTACGTGAAACGCGTTAAATAGTCTTATTGACATTTAAAGCTGCATGCCTCCAGATGAGTCAAAATATTTCAACAAAATCAAACCTGAAAAATATGTACTACAATTTTAGGAAAAGTAAAATGATTCAAGATTCAAGTAATATTTTACATGTTATGTGCGGTTAATGACTGATTTTTCAGTATTTACAACTACATTTTTACTGCGTTACTAACGCAGTAAGGGCTATTTATACACATTTTGACCACTTTTTGGTAATTTACGTGGGTTGAAAGTGCCATTTATAATGTGTCAATTGCTGCATTTTGGTTATTTCACAATATTATATATTTAAATACATTTTCAAAATTTTCATGAAAATTGACGTGAATCTGGAGACGTGCTGCTTTAACCCGGTTTCACATATACATCTCAATAAGCCCGGTGGTCAATAATAAGTCGGGTTTTTTTTTTAAGAAAAAAAGAAAATATTCGGGTATGACGGAAAGACAAAGTGTAAAATAATTGTATAACTAATAAATGATTATCTACTCGTATTTGCTCTCCATCACGTATATACGGAAAGAATGAAAAACAAAAGTTTGATTTAATGATTTTAATTCTTATCGATGATTATAAAGAGACTACTATATGGTCGACATATTTACGTGCTTATTTCAGGAGTCAAATGGAAACATAATGAATAGTAAATATTGTTATAAATTACCGGAGGTTTGAATATTTCTACAACTTTTTCCTTCTCAATGTAGAAATAGCCGTCGTCATAACGTTTATCGAGTAACCAGTCACGCTCCAAACCATAGCAAATTTCACTTTCATTTCCAAGTGGAATTTTTACAGCCTTATATTCATTTTCGTCTTTTCGTACACAGCAGTCTTTATCTTCCGTACTAAATTGCCTATTTCCTGTTCTGTACCGAATATGTCTAATGTTGGCACAAACTGCAGAAGACAAAAGTCCTGTATAAATAAAAAAGGTTATCTTCAATTTAATTTCCATTGTTGCTCTATTCGTTACTATTCCAAAAATGCCCGACTATCTTTACTTTTTTCCTGTGATATATCGCCCTGTTTAAGCTTCTATGGCTCCTGAGCGGTCATGTGGTTAAAATGAAATTCTCAATTCTTTTTCAACAGTCTGTGTCAAAAATAATCCCCTTTAAGCCCTTATAACTAATTAATTTATAAACATTAAGAAACATGTAATCGATACAATAAGAGCTTTTTTCTTCTTTTAGATGTAAGGGGAGAGTTCGCTTGGATAGACAAAATATTGTCTTGGACGGAGCCTGAGATAAACTGTTGTTTGATCCAGCGAATTGTCTTTCTAACTCTAGAAGAAGACACTTCTGAAGAACAGAACAGAACAGAACAGAAACTTTATTTCTTGGTTTAAGCATAAAAAGCTCATCACCATATTAAATATACAAATACAACATATAATACATAAATGACACAGGACATGAATATATATAGTTACAAAATAATGGTTTATGTGATGTGAGAATGTTTAATTTGAGATACGAAATTACTTAAAAAGCATATGAATACATGTATATAATACACAAGAATTTGCCTATCTTTACCAAACACTATCAATTTAAGCTACAATACACTATACAAAAAAAGCAAACTGCGACAAATGAAGGGGGATAACTTAGGTAACTTTACATAACCAGTATTTTAACATTTACTTCCCCTTAATAATTCATGATCAATATTAATAGAATTCATTTCTATATGAAAAATGAATACATTTACTGATTTTGTACGTTTTATATATATATATATATATATATATATATATATATATATATATATATATATATATATATATATATATATATATAAAGAAAAGAAAAACCTACACAAAACAGACCAAAACCCGAAACAACTAACACTTGACTTAATTATAAGGATTAGTTTTGTCAAAACATTTTATCATGGTATTTATATTTGGTTATGTGTTGAAAAACAGATATAGTTAATTTGAGAAGATACAAATATTAATAAATAAATAAAAAAATATATGTATATATGTACAATTTCATATTCACATATAACTTTACAAATCTACATGATGGATATACAATGCGCATTTAACAGTTACAATGATACTTTTCATTTTTTTTAAACAACAGAAAAAAACAGAGAAAGAGAGTAAAGCTTACATGTCAGTATATTATAACAAACTATCCCTCAATTTAAAAGCTTTATCACAGAATATAGCTAAATTTTTCAGTTCTTTCTTGCGACCAGTTTGCATTAATGAAATGAATTTAAACATACTTGTGTTGCAATAATAGTATCTTGGAATGTATTGCTTTCTTAACTCAGAATATATCGGACATTTAAGGATAAAGTGAAATTCATCTTCTATATCATTCATATAACATAAAGTGCACTTTCGTTCATTCCTTGGTACATTATTATGTCTTCCTAACTCGATATTAAGTTTGTGTGAGGAGAGTCTTATTTTTGCTAAAACATTTCTATATTTTACATTCTCAATATATTTTATATATAACGATTGTTCAAGTGTGATCTTATATTCCCTATATACATCTAACAATGATGAAGATTGAATACCATCATTCCAACAACTTATATAAATATCCCGTAATCTATTCCTAAAAATAGGTACAAATAGTTTTATATTAACAGAATCGGGATATAACCAGACTTCATTAAATCCTGCTGACTGAAGAATGTTTTTAACTTTTGAAGCCCAGTTTGCTGAACAATTTACCACATCAACATTATATATCTGTCTACACAATATTGTTCTCAATATACAATTATCTTTTTTACTTGTATTTAACTTAAGAAAATATTTACTCATACGAATATGCCTTTCAATGTAAAGAGGAAATCTCCCCAAGTCTGCATATAATGCCAAAGTATTTGTCGACTGTTTAACATTTAAAATAAACCTACAAAATTTTTATGTACTCGTTCCAAAACTTCTGCATTCATAAACCCCCATACTTCACAGCCATTATTTAAAATTGATAAAACATAGGCGTCAAAGAGATTACACATAATGTTAACTGGTACTATGTAGTCACATAACAATTGCAACAATGAATATAATGATCTGAGCCCTTTCCCAGCTAACGTCTTTGTAGCTTGCATGAATGACCCACCACTCGTGAATACCACACCTAAGTAGTTAAATGAATTTACTACCTCGACTTCTTGATGATTATAAAACCACTTATCCATATTACCAAGTCTACCACCTTTTCTGAATACAATTATTCCGGCCGCCCGAGACACTCAGTCAAGAGCACCAAGGGACGGTACGCCGGCGTGGAGGCAAGGACGAGCAGTGACCGCCGCGAGACGGACCGCAAGCCTCTTCTGAAGGAAATACGAATAATTGTGTGTGATTGAAAAATTGTTAAACACAATTAACAATAAATGGAAGTATTTGGAAAAAAAATCTGATATTGCTTTGTTTTTATTTGCTTCATGTAAATATAAAACTCTAGAAAATAATAATGTGTGCTTTAGATAAAGTAAAGTTTTGGCCTGTTGCAATCTCAAGCAATATATTATGTAAATATTGCTTTTTGAAATTTTGAAAATATTTCCCGCATTACCTTTCACTTCAATAAAGAAATTTAGACCATTTTAACTGTCTACAATAATCAAACCGAAAGCATTGTTTTAAAAGGACATACATGTACTAACATTTCGCGAACTTTAGTGAAAGAAAGATTAAGTAACAGATAGCAAGCCAATCTATACATTTGTACTTTGACTTTTATTTGTTTGGGTCGTCAGACCAAACATATAATGGTAGCGAAATTTCAGACCCTGATATGCTTATTTGCAAAATCCAAAAGTAGTCCATCACGAATTCCTCGAATTCCCTTTATAAGTACACAAACGCCGAAAAATTAAGGGGAGATCACTGTGTAATTTAATATCAGTGTTGCAATTAGCCTTATTGCCAATTTACTACAGTTAAAACACTGTCAACAGAATTGCTGACACTCTACAAAAACAAATTGGTTTATTATCTTACAACATTCACCCTTCTGACATTCTGAGACCCAAACAAATTCAGCGCCTTCAGTGCTTTGATTAGTTTTGGCTTGATCGTTGTCTTAATTCATTTGCTTTTCAGTTTTCTCGTTATAATTTGTTTATTCGTTCTTGATGTTCTTGTTTTTATCATTGCCTTTCATATTATTTTATTTATTTATTTATTTATTTATTTATTTATTTATTTATTTATTTATTTATTTATTTATTTATTTATTTATTTATTTATTCATTCATAAGTAATTTAGAAATTAATTAATTATTTATTAATTTTATTTATTTATCTTTTTTTTCATTCATTCATTCATTCATTCATTCATTCATTATGAACGCAACCAAAGTCTCCCCTGATTGGTCAGTTCTTGCTAGCATTTGATTTGTTTTAATGCGAATTTAATGCAATAATCTAGATTTAATTACAATCAGACCTGGGGATGATTACATTGATCAGTAATTGATTTAATTACAATTACTTTCAGATTTTATTGTAATTGATTACAATTGATTACTCAGACTTGCCTCTGTAATCAATTAAATTACAATTACTTTAAGAAAGTAATTGATTGATAATTGATTACATTCAATGTATAACAAAAAACAAAAGTTTCTTAATGCTATTTAATATATACATTATATACACAAAGGATTTCCAGCTCATCAACAGTGACATCATTTTAACACACTTTTAGTTACTGTCACTTCACTTTATCATATTTTAGCATTGCACTTTAGCATCATAAGTTCATGAAACCGTCTTGTCAGTCAGACTGCATCTATCAGGACGGAAAATTTGACCCGCAACATTAAACAAACGCTCTACAGGGGCCGATGATGCAGGAATGGTCATCAGTCTTCTTGGTATAGGTTTCATAATGAGCTCTCTGCAACAGAAATTTCGAAAAGTGTCAATTGTACAGTATGTTGTATACAGGTGTGAAAACAGAATCTGAAGTCTGAACAGAAACAGAATCTGAAAACAGGTCTGAATACAGGTGTGTATGGGAATTTAAAGAGACAATAGGCTTTACAAAGAAATTATTGATTTTTTACAAACACTTCAATGGTACAACAGTATCCATTATAATTTAGACACATTGTCTCTCACCTTACAAAATAACTGTTGCATATAATTAAAATATGGTAATATGCATCTGACATAAACTCTAGAATATACAAAGTAAAGAAGTTATCTTCATTGTTTGAAACTTTTTAAAAATGGTTAAACCAAAATATGTTAAACTAAATTTAACATACCTTTATGTGGGTAATGAAATTTTGGATGTGACTTAGTGTTTCCATTTATCTTCCTAGGGCACAATTTGCACTGTGCTGTCACATTTCCAGATGTCTCTTTAGGAAATTCAAAGACATCATAAATCCAATGATTTGACATTTTGGTAAGAATACCAGCCAAACAATGATGTCTATCTTTCAGTTAGAATTTGATTAACTGTATGGATTATAACTTTTTTCTTCATTGTGAGTGATGTCTTAAAACATCTCACTTGATATTTTACTGAACAGAACAGAACAGAACAGAACATAGGTTTATTAATAAATCGTATGCGAACAGCATATTGATTAACCAATAATATTTTACATGCATGCATAAAAGTATGTAATGAGAGCATATACACTAATGAATCAATGTATCAAAGATAAATACAAAGTCTACATATTTTCGATAGATTTGAGATATTCGGCTTTGCTATTTCTGACCATTCATATACAATTATGATAACGAAAATGTCAAAACTTGGTAATTGTTATTTCATATGACACAGTATTTAAGTTAAGTATTTTAATTAACTATTTGTATTTAAGAGAGTCTTTCTTTCTTCAAATGCTTTGATTAGATATTTTGCCAGTCTGTATAAAATTTGCACATCACTGGATGATAATAAATCAATGAATTTAATCATATTTGGCCTTGTTCTGTACCAATGTGGTATGTACTGTCTTCTAATGTTATTATACACCGGACATTCTAATATGAAGTGGAATTCATCTTCTATTGTTCGTTGAAGACATAATTTACACATACGCTCGTTCCTAGGAATGTTCCTATGCCTACCTTGTTCAATTTCAAGGCAATGAGAGGACAAACGTATTTTTGTTATTACATTTCTATATTTCTTATTTTCCATCAATGTTAAATAATCTGCCATTCCAAAGTTTTGTTTAATACTATTA